TGCGAGTTGGATTTGCATACAAAGCAAACACATTAACATATGCGCCCCACCTGCAGTCAACAGTAGCCGAGAGTAGGAAATTTACGAGTGCCACCGTTCAGATGCAAAGGCACAGATATAGCCAGCGAGTCAGATATAGAGAGAGATATATATAGAGATATGTGAAGGGAAAAGCAGGCAAGAATAGAGCGTCAGCCGTGTGAGAGTTTCAGCCATCTCTCGAGGTGGTCAGCATATTTTCAGGTGCACCTGTTGATGGATGGCATTTTAATGCCTGCGCTCATTCTGGTGGCTCGCAGATTAAGTAAGTACACAGCAATTAGACAGCTAATTTAATTACCACACCCACCCACTGTTTAATTGGCCCATAATCGCTCAAAGCGAGCGCCGGCGCTGATTGCCGCCCAGTCGATACAGTGAGACGCCTCCAACTACATCTGTATCTGTATCTGTCTATCTGTGGCTGAATGTGCTCTGCATCTATGTCTGGCGAGTGGGTGGGGTTCGGCTCTGCTCTGCTCTGCTGTGCTGTGCTGTGGCTGCCACTTACGCAGCTAATAAAGCAGCAATTTGGCAGCTGACGCCGCTGCCAACGCAAACAAAACATCAAAAGGCGAACGGCCCCACCGTTGCCCCACTCAGCACCACCCTAACATCAAACGCCAAATGTGCGGAGGTTTATTTACAACAAAAACACAAAACTAAACGAAAATGTTGTAGCAAGTACAAAACACTCGATCTCTGGATCGCCGGATCGTCGGATCGTCGGATCGCATTGCCCTTGTTTATTGTGTGCGTCTGTCTATTAAGAGATTTGGAATTTCGACTGCTGGCGCTCGACGCGGCACCTGTTGGCTGTTTTGAAGGGCGCTGTTATCGCCGCCTTACAGATTTATGCGAACAATCCTTCAGTTATCCAAAGCTCAATAGTTTTACCTTAGGCCATTGGCTTTGAAGCGGCCGCCGTTGACGTTTTTATGGGCCAGAAACGAGGCGTATTTGATGCATTGCCAACGCAATGGACCCTAAACTTGCCTCAAGTGGACTCACGCTGGCTGCACATTGATTAGCTCTGGCCAAAATGAGCTGCAAAGAAAAAGGAGCCAAGGAATCAAATAATCATGCCATAAAGATTTGTTATTGTCTCGCATCTATTGAATGCATACTTAATTGTTTGTTTAAATATTATAAATGATTTTTTAAATTTTCAAAAAAAAAAAAAACAGGATACTAATTTTTAATAATTTGAATAAAATTGATACAGTTTTTATTTGATTTTTAATATATATTTTTTTGTATATAATATTATTTGTTTTATTTTTATTTAGATGTATGTATATTTTTTGTTTTATTTTATTATTCTTAATTTAATTTATTTATTTATTTTTTATTTTTGGTGCGTGCTTTATTATTTGGAGTTATATAAATGGGCCTTCACATAACTTTTTCTTTATTATTTTTTAACAAAATTATATAATAATATATATGTATATATGTTGAAATGGAATCAGCAGATTAAAAATATGGAAATATGGAATAAAGAGAATTCATTGAAGAATAATAAATATATAATCAGCAGAGTTATCAAATTGATTTTATTAGCCAGGGAACCTGGAACAATCTGTATGAAAAAAACTTGAAATATTTTATTTACATATATTTTATAAAAATTTTGGAAATATTTTTATTTATTATAAACTTTTTCTGATCATAAGCGCCATTAACCTATTTTAAAGTGTTTATTTTGATGAACTTATAAGACAATCATGGCTCGATAATACTTACATAACCAATTGTGCAACCAACTGGCGCCCAAGCGAGGAGCCCGCCACAACAACAATCATCGATTCAGAGCAACAGCAGCAGCAGCATCCACTGAAGCCACATCCCGACAACAGTTACAGCAACAACAACAATTGAGCCACATAACGAACCAAGTTTGAATATACTCGTAAGATTCCTGAGTATATTAGGTAGCAAAATTTTTACGAGCTCATTATGGCTCATTTCGGCGATTGTTGTGATCCTTTTATGCGCCTTCGAATGGCTTCAAATGGTTATGAGGCTATTCGCTGTCTGTCCCTGGCCTCGCAGTCCTGTGCGACTGCCGATGCTGGTGATGCTGCCACAAGGACTCACGATATTTAGTTTGCAGTTGCGACTGCGATTTTTACTTTTGGCTGTCGTTTCGTTTCGTTTGGTTTGCTTCGCTTTGCTTTCGCTTTGGCGTTGGCTTTGGCTTTTTTGCTTGGCTTTCCGCTCATGTTACTTTGCAGTTTGTTGTTGCTGTTGTTGTTGTTGTTTCTCTTGGCAAAATGTCGCCGTCTGTCTGCGTATGTGTTTGTATGTTTGTGTGTGTGTGTGTGCTTGTGGGGACATCCGTGCGCTGTGTGTGTGCAAGTTTTTGTATCTTTTTCGCATGTTGTTGATTTTAGAGACTTGGCAACGAATGCGAGCGACGACTGCGACTGACTGGGCTGCTGGGCTGCTAAGGTTGCTGGGGAGATTGCACAAAAGTAAATTTCTTCTTATAATAAGTTTATTTTGCAAACACTTGTGGCAAGCAACTTTGTTTGTTCGCCTCTAATCTACGAGCCGTTTGTGCGAATGTGCAAACTTTGACAAATATTTGCAAAAGTTTTGCCCAACTGCGCGAGCTGCGAACCGAGCGCCGATCTCTTTGCATTATGCATATGAATTTATTAGCATCAATTTGGAGACGCATTAATAGCGCATCTCAAATATGAAAATATATGTGTGTGTTTATATAATATATATGTATACATCTTTATATGTTTTCATTTGGGCAACAATTCATATTGACGTCAATCGGCATTTGGCTAACTGCATTGACATTTTATTTTGAGACTCGCGCTATATAAGAAATTGTAATAAGCTGTTAAGCGCCGTGAATAAGCCATACAAATAATATGAGTGCCAATAAAATTAAATTCTATTAATATTCAGTGGCAAATACGCGCTAAATACATCTTTCGATTAATCAGAACTATAAAATTGACACTCAAAAGCCTTTTACAATCTTGCAAATACACCAATAAGAAACAAACTCAATCCAAATTCGAATAATAGTATGCCTGCATGAGTCATCTGAATCTACATATAGTTAAAAGGGAAGATATATATTGAAGGAAGATATATATTGTATATAAATGTTCTTTATATAATTTGTATTGACTTCAGCAAGAATAGATAGTTAAGTAAAGTATTCAATGTCATGTGACTTCAGCGGGAGTAGTATCTATCTAGTAAAGTATTTAATGTATTAAGTATTTAAAACATTACTGCAAATATATTTTATATCAATTTAACCTTATTATAATGCAACTCTATGAAATTAAAACTACAAGCTTTTTACTATAGCAACAAATATGAAATAGAAAAGTCTGCTACACAAAAGAGTTAAAACTTACAATAATTATTGGCAAGGCAATAAGTTTGATTTAAATATACATATATTCCATTTTTCCATTTTTTATATGAAAATGAAGAAAAAACCTTCACAAGCTTCAAATTTGTATTTTCAAATAAAAATGTCATTTAATAAAATAAATAATTCGAATAATGAAGTAAATACAAATAAATGAAAGATTCGCATTAAAACTCAGCTTATTTGATATTTACAATTAAATTATAATTAAAAATAATAATGAACATAACAAATAATATTCCTTTTCTTTATTATTATTATTATTATTTATTTCTACTATTTAATATTTGCTATGATAAATAATTTATATAGTCGATATATATTTATGTATATAAAGGATGATGATGAACAGATACAGATACAAGCAGCAGATACAAGATACTATATTAATTACTAAATTAATTGAAGAGCTGACCAAGTCCCATATGATAAGATGAAAATATGTATTATTTGAGATGCAAGTTCTATTTAATTATGCTATTAATTAAAGCTGTAAGCCGCAGATCAATTGTTTGTTTTCTTCAGTTTATTAATTATATATTTTATAGAAATAATTCACTTAGAAAGTATTTATTGAGAGTCCACGAAATATAAAATAGAATTTAATAAGAAAAAAATAGGTTTTTGCTTTCAATATGCTATAAAATAAAGCATATATGATTTTAATAAAATGTTAAGAAAAATGCTCAGAAAATGTTTTAAAATATGTATATCTAAATGTACACTTGTATCGAACCTAAATTTAATTTTAAAAATGTTAAAAGAATTTTTAATACAATTTTTAATTTTCATCAATTTTCATCAATTAATTTTAATCAACTCTGCTTATTATAATTTATTAATTAGTATAGTTCAATTATTTTCCTATGCCAAATAAACTCGCACAAAGTGCAGCGGAAAATTTGTCATGAAATCATGGCTAGCCAGCATTGTATCTGTATCTGAATGTGAATTTGTATCTGCAGCGCGTTGCGTGCGACGGGCAACTGCCAACTGGCAACTGGCGAGCATCGAGCGTTGAGCGTCGAGCGTCGAGCGTTTGTCAAATTGAGTGCAAAAGTGGCGAAAATCGTTTGAGTTTAAACGTGCTCTGTCTGGCCTATAAGAAAAATCAGCCCTCCTCCATGATGAATTTCCACAGTCAGAGCGCATTTTCCACACGCGCAAATGATGAATTCTCCACTCAGAGCGAGCCGAGCGCTCGAACATGTTCGAATGAACGCGCTCAAACGGCCCGGAATGAACGCAGGCGAGCAGCCACGGCGACTCGGAGTCGGATTCACTGGTGAGAGAGAGGGAGCGAGCCGCTGGTTTGAGTAGCCCTTATCACTTGGTGAGCGCAGCGAGTGAAGCGACTGTGGCTCATTCTGTTTCAGTTTCGCTCATTCATTTAGTTGTTTGGCCTCTCTGTTTTGGCTGCTTCTTCTTCCAGCGAGCTGCCTGCCTGTCGCTGCTGCGTATCGGGGGAGCTCTACAGGCAAAGCGCTGCTGCCGCTGCCGCTGCCTCGGCCGCTGCCGTCGTCGCTCGCTGCTGGCGGCGGCCCAGCCGTTGCCATTCAGTTGAGTTTAGTTGAGTCTCAGTCAAAACACAACCAACTGCGATTTGGTGGCACATTCGTTCGATGGCAACGGTTTGGATAACAGGCGCGCGCTTTGTTTTATTATCCCACATTATCAGCGGCATTATTGTTATTGGCATTGTACGCTCAATTTTAATGTTGTATGGCCCTCGCGCTCTGAGCTCGCACTCGCATACGTATCTGTAGACCAGTGGCCAGTGTATATCTCAATCTGCATCTGCATCTGCATCTGCATCCGCATCTGCATTTGTATCTGTATCTGAATTTGAATTTCAATTTGAATCTTCAGCTGAAGCGTCAGTTGAACGTGAAGCGCGCGCTCGTCGCTGTCGTCGGTCGTCGTCGCTAATAACAATAATAATTATAATAACAATAACAGCAATAATACCAATAATAATAATAATAATAATAATCGTAATAATAATAGTTTGTTATCACAATAATGACAACGCTATGAATGCTAAGCGAGGCATTGAATTGAAAGTGATTCAATAGGCGCCACATCGAATACTCCAAATCAATATTTATCCATTCAAAAACAACACAAATTTTATATGAATTGTGGTGTCAGTGACAAGTGAATAAAACACGCGTGCAATTGGAAAACAACAAAATCTAAAATTTAAATTTTAAAATTATAAACGAAACCAAAATCAAGTATACGAAACTTTAATTTAAACAGAATTAAATATATTTTATAAAATTCTACGGCCGGAAAAAGTGCAATAAATAATTTTAAAACAAAATTACAATTAACGAAAATTAAAATTAAATTAAAAATATATTGTTAAAACATTTTTTGAGAGAAAAAAAAAAAAAAACAGCAAACCAAAATTTTATACACAACAAAAATATCGCAGTTAATTAACTTAAACTGAATTAATCAAAGGATTGCTTAGGCAATGCCCATTGTGGAACACAACTGAGTGTTGAGTATTTGTATACGAGTGCCGTGCGCCGCGTGCAGTTACTTTTAGTAGCGGCTGTAGCTGCTGACAGTTAGCCGCCAAAATTCTCACCGCCAGCAGCAGCCACAACATGAACTCCTACTTCGAGCAGGCCTCCGGCTTCTATGGCCATCCGCATCAGGCAACGGGCATGGCCATGGGCTCGGGCGGGCATCACGATCAGACGACGGCCAGCGCCGCGGCGGCCGCCTACAGAGGCTTCCCGCTATCGCTGGGCATGTCACCGTACGCCAACCACCATCTGCAGCGCACCACACAGGACTCGCCGTACGATGCGAGCATCACGGCCGCCTGCAACAAGATCTACGGCGATGCCGGCAGCGCCTACAAACAGGACTGCCTCAACATCAAGGCGGACGCCGTCAATGGCTACAAGGACATTTGGAACACGGGCGGCACCAATGGCGGAGGCGGTGGCGGTGGTGGCGGCGGTGCCAGCGCTGGCAACACCACCAACGGCTCCAATGCGCCCAACTCTGCCAACGGACAGAACAATGCGGGCGGCGGTGGCATGCCCGTCCGTCCGTCCGCCTGCACGCCCGACTCCCGCGTCGGCGGCTACTTGGACACATCGGGCGGCAGCCCAGTGAGCCATCGCGGTGGCGGCAGTGCCGGCGGCGGCAACGGCAGCGCCGGCGGCGTACCACAGAACACAGCCAGCGGCGTGGGCGGCGGTGTGGGCGCGGCCACAGCCTGGAATGCCAATTGCACCATCTCGGGCGCTGCGGCGGCCCAAACAGCGGCTGCCAGCAGTTTACACCAGGCCAGCAATCACACCTTCTACCCCTGGATGGCAATCGCAGGTGAGTCCACAGCCGATCCAATCAAAAGTGAGTGTTCAGCGCAGTCTCGACTCTTGATCTATCCATCTATCCTAAGTTACATTGTAAATTGCTTTGATTTTAATTGATTGTTGTTGTTGCTGTTGTTGTGGTTGTCGTCTCACTTCTGGTTTCGTGTGTGTTTTCATAGTTGTTTTCGCTGGTCAAGTGATGAGCCATTAGACATCCACTTGGCGAGTGAACGAGCACGCGGTAGTAATAATAATTATGTGACCATTGTTAGTTAATTATTGTAGCACTCTCAGCAGTTGTAAACACTTGTAAAACAGTTTCAGAAATAAGTTTACATTATGTAAACAGACTTACAAGTTGCATTTGTTAAGGGAAAATGCGAAAAAAAAATGGAAAAACATATTCAAGTTTCTTTGTTTCAATTAGCAGTATTGAATAAATATTTTAAGAAAAATATATTATATTACAAATGAAACGCTCTTTCACATTTTCTTACACGCCTTGAAAATTTTCGTAATTTTCGTTAAATAGTGATTCCAAAATTTTGTACAAAAATTATACAATCTAAAAATAATTTTTGATATTTTATAAAACTCAATTTTTATTGAATATAAATAAGGAGAAAAATCTGTTTTTTTTTTTTTATTTTTATTTTTATTTTTTTTTTTATTTTATTTTTTTTTTTTTTTTTTTTTCATTTTATAAAGTGTTGGATTAGCTCTTCGTTTATTTGTATTTTCAATAAACATATTTTATAAAAATACAAAATATAATTTTGTATTCTTATCATAATAAAAAAAATTCAATGAAAATATTTCACAAAAAATAATAACTTTTACCTGTAATAAATATTCAAAACATCAAGAGATTTATTGAAATTCTCCTAGTAATAATTGCAGTATTTAAATGAAACTGCTTGACGCTGATTTGATGCAGTTCATCAATTTATAGAGTCCAATCGGTGCACAAATTGAGCTTGAAGTTGGCTCAACAGACTCATAAATAAAGCTCAACACACTCGAAGCAGGCGTTGCCACCCAACCAAACCAGTGGCACTTATACCTGGTAGTTAGCTCTTCCTCTTCTCCATCTTCTTCTTCTTCTCCTTCTCCTTTTTCGTTGTCGTCTATGTGGTGCTGCTGCCACACGCCTTGAAGCACTCGCGCAGTAGCTGCCTCATAATTTTCAACACTTTGTTTACTAATTTTTGTCACCTTTGGTTTTAATGATGCTCAGCGGCGACTTCGTCGCCGGCAACGACGACGCCGACAACGCCGACAACGTTGTCCGTAATTGCTGCAGCAACGTTGGCGGCAAAGTGGCAACAAAAGTGTGCTGCAATTTGTGCAACGAGAACGGCAGCGCTGTAAATTATGGCCAGGCAGCTGAAAGAGCTGCGAGAATAGCAAAAATCCTTTTGCCAGGACACACACTGAGCGCGCACATTGGGCGGTTGAGCAGAAGTCGCGCTTATTACAGTTAACAGCGCCATTATGTAATTATGTACAGCGCGCTCTCAACTCAAGCAGCAACTAAGCAGCAGCAGTAAGGCCACCAGCCGAGCCAAGTCCACAGGTTGCCACACCAGCCAGTCGGCCAGCCGGCCAGCCGTCGACTCCTAAGCCTTATCAACAGCAGCGCTCTCAAAGCCCACGACAGTGGGTTCACTGAGTCGCTGATAAGCCACAAGGCACTCATAACACCTTCAACGAAATTCCATTTCCAATTCGCATACAACCACAATCAAAATCCAATTCAAAAGCTCCCCCAAAAAATGCTGACCGAGCGAAATTTATGATCGCCTTCATGTAGGTGGTCGGCCGAGCGGACAGGCATAAATTTGGAATTCGTATTCTGAGCGCGTTAAGCTGGAAACATTTATGTTTTAGATGGGCCGCGGAGCAGACCAGAAGTGCGCAAAAAATCAATCAAATTTCACTTGGGCTATCGGTAATTACAAAACTTGGCACCCGAAGCAGCCGAAGGGGCAGAAACAGCATCAGAGCTGGTTAAAAAACAATTAAAGTTGAACTAAATACGAGTTGAAGGTACGCTCCCGCGACAGGTTTTTGCCGGAACTGGTTCGTTCCACTTCAAACGTAATCGTAATCAATCGATCCTGCCATAACACAGAGATGATCGTAATGTAATTTATGCCCAAAGTGAAATCCTGACGTTGCTTTACACAGTCAGTTTTTATTTTGATGAAATCTCTCATAATACAGGGTGTTCCGCGCTAACTTTATTTGCTCAGCTCTCAAATGCTGTTTGTCGTGTTACCTGAGCGAGTAGAAGAGTCCAACTGTGTAGAGGATTCACATAAGTCTTGCGGAGGTCTAATTTACCTGAGTCTAGCTGTAATTATTGCTTAGGTGTGCTTCCAATAAGAATACGATATAGGAGTTTAGTCAACTCACCAGGCACTTAGCCCTGTGTGCGCTCGTGGTGAATTTTTGTGTGTGGTGTAAATGCACTCACCACTTAAGCTATTGTGTTCTCTTTTCGGAAGAACTTGACATTGATATATTATAAAATAATACGAAATATCATAAAGAGAATTTTTATTAAATTTTTAACTTTGACATTGAAAAAATTAATTCAATTTGAATGACTAAACACAGTTAAAACTATCCAGTATTTAACATGAATAAACCTAAATGTTAAATGTCTACAAAAATAATAATAATAGTTATTAATTACCAAACATTTTGTAAGAGTAAATTAAATCAAAATTAACTAGCTTTCAAATATTATTTATATATTTTTGTTTAAGCTTCGTAATTCGTATTTGTATATAAATAGTCAATAAATTTTATTTATATAATAAAAAAAAATATTTTATTAAATATAACCAAAAATCATACATTGAATAAATATCAAATATATATATATTTTTCATTTTCATTTACATTCCCATTTTAATAAACGTCTATGGCCGATTGAACACTTTTCACCTTAATCTGCTGATCTCTAATCTGAACATATTGCTTTGCTGTTCGCATCAGTGCGCAAAATCTCTATTTAAATCAATATTGAATCTAAATTGTTTACACTCGTGATTTATTCAACACTCGAAACAATTTGTAATGTGAACAATAATTTCGCTTGGCGGCGGAGCCACTGATTCCATCGCAAAAATATTCACAGAGGGTATAAACCAAATCAAGCCATAAATAAATCGCCGCACACTTCCAGCGATCATCGATCATTTGCAGCGGCCGTCAGAGCTGAAAAGCAATACAACAACCACAAATAAATATATATGTATATAAACAAACACACATATATGCAAAATAAAAATGCAAGAAAATAATGAAAAATTCCGTTTTTATCGTATCTAAACATGGTTTAAGATTTGAGAACCTACTTCAGATTTGTTTGCCTGTATTGGCCAGTTGGCTGACTTGAGCTGAGCAGTTGCTGCTGTTGTTGTTGTTGTTTGTGTTATGTGTGAACACGTTGAGCGCGGAGCCATTAAATCATTGTCCTGAAGGCTTTTAAGTCATTATCGATAAATTTCAACATAAATTCGTAAATTTGCTTTATTTGCCTGGGCCCCACACGCACACAAACACACTCACACACACACACTGACATACACATATGAGCCAACCACAAACGTTTGTGTGTGTTTGGCTGTCTCGGGGCCTAAATTTGTTTGGCTAATTCTGTTGCTTGTATCAGCGCCCACGCCAAAGTCAAATGCAGCAAAAAAAAAAAAAAAAGAGATCGATATCATTGGCAAAGACAGGCCGCAAATGTTTGCCTGTTCGTTCAACGTGTGTGTGTGTGTTTTTTTTTTTTTGTGTCCCACAATGACCTTGAGACTCTGCCAGCAGGTCCTGCAATTGACACGTTCTGCTGCAATCATAATTCATATTTTAAGGGCAACTTCCAAATGAACGCAATTATCAGTGGGCATTGTCACTCGGGGCTTAGGTAGATGAACGCAGCAAGCAGCCTATCGACCTTTTGTAGCCTTCTTCTCTGTCTCGGCCATCTCAATGTCAATTAGCTGCAGTGCAGCGCAATTGTGGTTCACACGTACAATGCCCAAAGGCACGTCGAATTCCCATATTCAGCCAAGGTTAATGTGCTTGGCAGCATTTTTGGCCAACATTGCATAACCATATTGCCCATAGCTCATAACTCACAACGCTCTGCTGGCAGTTCAAATGCCAATGGACTGCAAACATTCTGCATTTCATGCAACTGCAACTTGCAACTGCAACTGCAACTGCATCGGCAACATGCAATTAATAGGCCATAAGTGGCGCACACCCCCGTCCAGAAATGTTTTATTGATGATTATGTGGAGCAGGGCAAGAGAAACAGGAAAGCATTTTCAACGCGCGCTTTTAATCAACATTTGCAAAAATCAAAATCAAAAGCAAATCAAATCGATTGAAAAATTGGTTAACAACTTGCAGCAGCGGATGCGACTGCATCAGAGCAGACGCTGTGGCAGAGTCCGGGGAGCAGCTGACTCAGTTGACTCGCCGCATTCGGGGATTGGTCTGTGTTCTGGGGCAGCTTCTTGCATTTTTTAATGTATTTTTAAATAAGGAATTTAATAAGCACCTTGGCGGCCCTCGGACAACGACTCGAGCGCAGACAACGAATTCAACGACGACGACGACAACGCAAAGTGGCCCAGACACATGGCCCAAAAAAGAAAACAAAAATGAGAATAATAATAAAAAAAAAAAAGACTGCAGGGCGAGAAACAATTTTTGGTTATAACCCAAAACAGACAGTGGGCCGCAAATCAATTATAAAGTCGAAAAAATAAATTAAACAAAAAAAGATTATTACTGAGCTAGAAAATCAACTCTAACTTGTTTTAAAAAATGTAAAAAAATGTTATCAGTTACAAATACTTTTTTCCATAAATTTATATAGATAAATAATAAATAATAAGTACTTAAATGTATATAGATAAATAATATATCTACTCATTTCTTCATGCAAACTGCTATGCACTACTAAAACTGGAATTTAAAAATATTAAAAGAAAATTTCATATTTAATTTTGAGCTTTACAGCGTTATATGATACGAATTCTAAAATAATAAACTTATATTTCTTATAAAAAAAGGAAAAAGCCAATGCTTAAAAATTTGAATTGAAAAATCTAAAACCGTAATTGAATCCATGATTGCTTTTTTTTTTTTTTTTTTTTTTTTTTTTTAACAGTAAATTTATATTTCTAATTACTAAACTTAAAAATGCAGAACTTCAAAATGTATTATATTGTATTGTATATAGGTCTATCTAATTTTTTTATTTATTTATTTTTTTTTTTTATTTATATAAATTATATATTATTATTAAAATATTTACATTTCCATTTTGATAACATAATTGGCTAATAGTGCCAATTACTTTTTGAAGTTAACTTTATAAATAGTTCAGCAAAACCAGTTTTTAAATATCTCAAATTCAATACCTTTGCAGCTCAGAAATATGAAATATTCGTATTTAATTTTCTTTCACTATTCTTATATTATTATTATATAATATTTTTACTGCAAAATATATTCATTCTCATTCATTCATTCATTTGTTCAAATTGTTTGTTCTTGTACCATTGTTCGTTGGCCGCTTCTTGGCAGTTGCAAAATCATGTTTTAAGGTGTTTTTGATACCTAATAAAAACAACAACACAGCCCCGGTAAGAAGCACAAACACACACACAAACAAACACACGCACACACTCACATGTAGAACTGCATCGAAAACGCGCCATGCCAAAGGGTCAACTGTAGATGGGGAAGAGAGAGAGAGAGAGAGAGGGAGAGAGAGAAGTAGACAGGGAGAGGGAGGAGGGCGGCAAGCAAGCAACCAGGGTTGCCTTGGCTTTAAGGGCAGCGCCGCAGTGGCCAACAGAAGAAATTGTCTTGGGGCCCAGGTCCCCAACATACGTCATAGCAGCGACGCCGACTGCGACGCCGTTCGGCGTGTTTATTATAAAACAACAAATCATTCATTATAACCACTTGTGTACAGGCACAGATGCACACACAACCACACACACACATGCACATACATAGGTGTAATTGTATGTGTGTGTGTGTGTGTGCATATGAGAAAGTGGCGTAAACATGAAAAGAAACACGAGTTGCCAACGCTATGAAGTTTTGGACATGGCCATCTATGTGGTGGATCCGAATATGAGTATCTGAGTTTGAGCATATGTATCTGTGGCTGTATCTGTGTGCGTGTGTGTGTGTGTTTGGGCTGTCGTATAATATGCATATTTGCGTATTATTTTGATTTTAATAATGATTTATTTATTATTAATAATTCATTCGCGGTGGGCCCTTGCCGAGCTCGTATTGGATTTGTGCTGGCTTCGCCGCTGATTGCGATCTGATCTCCAGCCACCAAGCAGCAGCAGCAGCAGCAGCGGCTGAAGTCGTTGCTCAAGTGCAAAAGCCGAGCTCGAATTCGATCTCCAGCCAAGTCGCCATTTGAATACGGTCGGATACATCGGTTCGATTCGAACTCCATGAATGGACATATAACTGGGCTCGATCAGCCAGCGCCGAGCAGCCACAGCCACAGCCAACAGCCAGCAGCTAGCTGAGGTAACACAAGTTGCGTTTAACTATGTTGGAGACGTAGGAAACGCATATTTTAATGAGCTTCAATTAAGATAGAAATCTCGAAAACAAAAGAGACCAAGATTTATGCGTTCACAATTATGCAGTGACTGCCTTGAGGCTCTAGACCAAAAGACCAAAACTATGTGAGACTTAGTACAAGCTAACTAGTTAGTGAATCACAAACACAAACACAAACACACACACACATACCCACACGCACACACACACTCGCGCAGTCGAACGAGCTATCTCTGTGGGTATACTTGGAAAATGTGTAAAGGGTTGCAGATCGCATTAGATTATATTTTACATATAACCAGCCATGTGAATCATCTATATTTGCCTATTAATATTTTATTTAGAAAATATTTTTCTTTCATAAACAGTTTGTTGACGTTTAGAGATGGAATGGGAAAAATGAGAGATTTCTAGTAAACTGATAAAAATAAAATTATTAAAAGATACAATTAAAATATTTTATATTTTGCTGAAATCAACTTTTTATTTCATTGAATTTGATGCAGATAATAAATAATTTCAATGAAGCTTTTGCTTTTTAAAATAATATATTAATATATAATAAATAGTCAAACAGATTACAATCAAAATTCTTCGAATTTGAGGCTAAAAATCATCAGTAAAACTTTGTTCATGCAGAACAATATTTTAGATAGATAATTAAATACATATTAAGATAACATAATTCATAGATAATAGAAGATACGTTTTATTTGAATTGCAAAAAAATTAATTGATTGTTGTTCTTTCTAAATTTATGTACATAAATTTAATTAAGCTTAATTCTGAAACAAATTTATTCTTCACGTTATACACTAAATCTCCCATTCATGCCTGGGCAAGAGCATTTTGCTAGCCACCCATTACCTAGCCTCTGCTAGCCCATTGGCACTCTTTCACTCGACCTGAACAGTAGCCCGCAGTCTGTTTGCCGAGTCTCCAATCTGTGATTTACGAGTGCGGCATGCAGAACTGGGTAACTGTTATACCAGTTTAAATATTTGGTAAAAGAGAATCGATGTGCTATATACGACTTCTGAGCAGCGTGAGTTATAGACCAAAGATTTTGATTTACAGCCGTACATTGAACTCGAAACCCTACGAACCTGCCCCTGGCGCCTCGGTGTCCAACGAGTGGGCCTCCACCTTCGTAGTCTGACCAGCGGGGTCTTTCTTGGTCTTCGTCTCCGCCTCCGCCTCCGCCTCCGCCTTACAACATTAATGTCAATTTAATGTTTCCTTAATGACTTCTTTCGTTGCAACTTGTTTGGCTCTGGTTGCTGTTGCTGTTGTCGTCGTTGTTGTTGTTGTTTTAGTTCTTATCAGTTGCTGGTCAAACTTGTCGCATGGCTGGAAAGTGTTTATGCTAAATAGCTAACGAGTTTTCTCCACGAAAGTGAAGAGAGCCCAGCCGAATAGTTGGCAACGACTTTAAGTTTAGAGAGCTACTGCTCAGCTACGATACGGTGCGATATGATATAGTATAAAGTATATATATGCGCTGGCTGACATGTGTCTGACTCAATGTGCCAGCTATTTATTTGGGTCGGCAATTAAGATTTATATCAGCGCCTTTGATGGGCAATAAAAGCGCTAAGAAGATCTAGCAAACAAACGCAGCCTCTCACTCTCACTGGCCTTTCTCTCGCTCCCTCTCCCTCCCTCCCTCTCTCTCTCTCTAGCTAGCTCATTTATGCGGCTGGGTATTTGTCAAGAGCGTGCGCCGCCTTTAAAGAGTCATAAAAATCAGCCAAATGCGCGAGGTGTGAAAACACAAGACACCCCACGCGGAGCGCAGAGCTTAGGGTATGCCTCAGCTGCTGCACTTGACGAACTGCTTGCCAGCTCAAGCCGCAAACTAAATGTTTAATTTTTATAAACACTTTTTCCCCCTCACTTGTGCTCTCTCTCTCTCTCTCTCTCGCTCGCGCAGACTCCTGGCTCTGCCGACGCCACGGCGAGCCGCCAACCATTTGTTTGAATTTGTCTAAAGTGGCTGCCCCTTTTTCTTTTTGCTCCCCCTTTTTTCCACTCATAGCATTTTCATAATTTTCATTGCTGCTGCTGCAAAAAATAACGTTTGTCAAATTTTCCGTTTACTTTTAGCTGGCGCCCCTGCTCACAGCCCCTCCCCGCCCCCCTTGGCTTTGTCTGCCCCTCATAGTTGTGTTTCCTTCTTCTTTTTAATTTCATATTTTTCTTTGTTGTTTCTTTTTGAGCACTGTGTCTGCTGTCTGCCGTCTGCATCTGGCTGTCCGTCTGTGTCTGCAACAGTCGCTCTCTCCCTCTCTCTCGCACTCGCTCTCGCTCTCTGCTCTTCAGTTGGAAATTACGTTTACTCAGGCGCCAGGCGCGCATATTTAAATACACACGTGTTTTATCGCTGCCATTAAATCATATTTTTATACTTTACCTTTTTGCTGTGCCACCTTCAATGACTCCAAGCAGCCCTCCACGCCCCCTAGTACTCCCCGCCCAGCACGTTGGCATTTTGATTGTTTACATTTTGCACTTTCACGGCGTAAACAAACAAACGGCGTTAAAAATTGTGAAAAAGAAGAAAATATAAAAAAATAGATACACGAGACAGAGCAGGAGTTGGAGGCGGAGGCGGAGACGGTGCCAACGTCCCGTTGGCGCATGGCCAGTGGAAGGGTATTGGGGCTCCTGCGAGTGGGCTTGGTCAGAGCTTATGGAAATGGCTCTTGTAGTGCCAGACGAAATGTCAAGTGGCCTCAAATACCTCGCGATATATGGAAAAACAATGGAAGTTCCTAGAGGAACGGGTTGGGAAATTCTATTGATAATGGTTCTCCTGTTTACGTTTACAGTTAGTTTCATCAGTTCTTAAGTAGTATCTGCTCAATATATCATTTGAATCAATCATGGGCAAAGCATCGTCAATCTAATTCAATTTTTCTCTTCAATTCAATCCTCTACCCTTTCATTAACATAAATTGGCCAAGCTCTCTTTTATTCTTACTCTGCAAGATGGCAATCCATAGCAGATTGAACAAGTCTTGTCTTGCTTTGCTCATGCACTCAGTAGCCTACATAGGTTAAAGATCAAAAGAACACTTTAATCGGCTACTGTTTAGGCTACACTTAGACTCAGCACCACCAAGCCACCTCCTCCACCGCAATAGCCGCAGCAACAACAAAGCTTAGTTTCAATTTACTCGAGTGGCCTGCACCACACGTGCGGCTGCTTAAGCGTTAATGCCTCATGCAACGCTCTGCTCTGGCTGTGCCCCTCTGCCCTCTCTTTGGGGCTTGGAGCCTGCTGGCGGAGCCTTGAACAATTTTTTAACATTTTTTAAACGTTTCTCCTCTCTGGTCTTCTGCATTTTCAGGTAAGATAAGATCTGATTTAACACAATACGGCGGCATATCAACAGACATGGGTAAGAAAATTTCCACATTTTTATTTCGTTTATATTTTAAATTTATTTCGCTGAGGAAACTGGTTAAGCTGTAGTCTAAACAAAAAAAATCGTAGAGCTCCTATACTAATACCGCAAAGTAGCTAGAAATTAGCATAAGGTGTTGGTGCCACACTCTCCAGGAAGCCATCGGAGGGCGTCAAAGCTTGCGGAATTCCTCTTGGGCGTCAAATGTTAACTCAAATGCGCCAGCCCCAGTTCGTGTGGAAATGATTGATTCGTCGGCTTCATGCGGCCCCGGCGAGCTGATTAGACCAAATGCAGCCCGACAGCACGCAACGGCAGTGCAATTAATGTTAACATTAAACAGAGTCAAGTAGCAGCCACACGTTGCAGCCACAGTCACCTCAGCCAGCCCCCCCTTTTGGCCAGCGGCAACTTCTGTGGCCAGCAGCCATTGGAGGCGTGGCATCTGCAGTGGAACCTCTTGCGTTGCCAGCTTATCAATCAGCGCGTCGACGACTGCAAGCAGCTACTTCTTAAAATCCAATTATACGCACAGACTGCCCCACTGACAGACTGACAGACTGACGGACTGGCAGACTGACAGAATGCGCAGCTGAAAGACTGAGAGAAGCTCGAGAGGCCCGACTGAATCAGTGAATCAGCTTGTTTGCCGCTCCACTCAAATTACATGAATCGCCGGCACAAGGCATACATCGAGGCTAAAAATTACGAAGACGCGCCACTCAGACTTGTCCTCGCCCTCTTCGCCCCCTTTTGCCCCCCTTTGCCTACACCTCTGCTTATTATTGACTATATTCAATTGATTATCTCGTGCAAATCGGTAGCTAAATATTGGCGCAGACACAGCAAGTGGGCAGCCCGACGCTCGAGCGTGAGCGTTGGCATCCCCAGAGCATCCTCGCTGCGGTGGGCAGCTCCTTGGCCACTTGGCACTTGGCAACCGTCTAGAGCTCGATAAGATGCCAGATATAGATTGGAGCTGGCAAGCTGACTGCCACCGTGAAGAACTATCACTTTGGCCAAGTGAGTGGATATTTATTACCAGAGGCTTGGCCCAGTGAAACGATCTGTTAATATCGATGTCGAACATTGTAATAAAGTATATAGTAAATAATATTATTACGATAGTTTGCTGGAATCGGATCGAGACTTTAAATGAAAAGAAAAGAATGTATATTGGGGAATGGATTGAGAGAAGGCATAATATAATATCAGCTGTACACAGATATTGATTTAATAATATTTGAATATGAATGTTTTTACTAATATTATGATTTTAACTTCATATATTGAAAAATGAAAACTTTAAATGGAAAATTCGAGAAACATAATTCAAGATTGTAGATTTAAGATTAAACATATATAAGTGAAGTTCGATAATGAAAGATTGTAGATCCTAGATTCAAAAGAGAATAAGTTCAAGAATATTTGAAAACACATAGAAATCTATTCTACTTTCTTTGTTCTTGCTTTATTAATTATATTCCCGAAATGATGAAATATTCAAGTGAACTGTAATCAAAATTAATCAAATACTATATGAAACATTAATATAGCAAAGGCAACAGTTCTATAGTACTAGAGGTCAGATATTTCAATGACATCTATTAACTTAGTTATCAATAATCAAATCAAAGTTCGTTATATTATTCATACTAAACAAATAAACAAACATTGGAATTGCTAGTATATTCCATTTGCCATGTCGCTCAACCCGTGCCCCGCCCATCCATTAAGCCTTCCGTCAGCTTAATCTACACTAAAATAATAAATATTAGAATTTATATATATATATACCTTTTTTTTCTTTTTTTTTTTTTTTTTTTTTTTTGCGTCACAGTTAAAATCTCATAATTTCGCTGTCATTTCTCACTCATTTCAACAGAGAGCTCGAGCCCCAACAGCTAAAACAAACTAAGCGCTGTGTAAGAGAATGGGGGGGCTTGCATTTAGTGGGCGTGGCTTGCATTCGCAGTGCTGCTGACATTGAACATGACATTTTCCCCCAAAGAGATAATTAAATTGCGGGCTTAATAGAATTAAATGCCGTGTTTGCATTTCAAAATCCAAAACGTGGCAAATGCCAATGGCCGTGCTACCCGTTGCACGACAACGACGACGACGCGGTTGGCCTGGCAACAACAACAGCAACAACAGCAACAGCAATAGCAACACCAGCAGCAGCAGCAGCAGCAGCAGCAGCAGCAGCAGCAGCAACAACAAAAAACTACAAAAAATGTCAATTTGGACAAGTTTTGATAATTGCAGGCGCGGCCGCGTCCGAGGTCCAGAATCGCATACGAATTGTGGCAGCGGCTACTGTGCTGCATGTTGCACGTAGCACGCTGTCCAGACTGCGCTGCGCTGCTCTGTGCGCTGTGGTGTGGTGAGCGTGAGCGTGTGCGTGTGAGTGTGCGTGTGTGTTGCGGCTGCTCCATGTTGCATGTTGCAGTTAATAATTATTGAAATGTGCGGCCGCCAGGAATTGTGCTCGTGCTCCTTGTGCTTCCTGCGCGGCTTCCGTTGGCGGCAGCGTCAATGTTGCATGCATCGTTACCTTTAAGCACTGCTGCTGCTGTTGTTGCTGCTGCTGCTGCTGCTGCTGCTGAGCTAAAGACTAACAATGCTTGCATTTTCCCACCTTTTTCACATAACTTTTCAGTTGTTGTTTTTGTTTTTTTTTCGTACTGTTCGCTTTCGTTTTGGCTGGCTTAGTGCGTCTTTGGCTGTTTCACTGTTTCGCTGTTGCCACCGGCTGGGCAAACAAGTCGGCCACTTGGCCGGCAGCTCGTCGCTCGCCCCGCGCCCGGCCCGCGCCGTGTTAACCCTCTGGTTCGATGTCTCGGACTTGTTACCACTTTAAAAAGCGGGCCGGCCCCCGGCCGGACTGGCCCCTGTAATAAATTCATATTCAAATTGTTAATTGAATATTATTTGTTAAATTTGCAAGCATTAAATGTAAATGTCGGCTGGCTGGGCAAATGTGGCGGGGGCGTGACCGCGGGCTGTGCGAATTTCATTTCATCGTATAATTTCGTCATTCCTTTTGTTTACTCTGCCTGGCTAATATAATTTATGGAACATTCTTAAGCGGATTATGGATAGAATTGAAAGCGATTTCAATAGTTACGTTTGCTGGGCCTTGCTCTCGCTTTTAATACTGTGTCGATTGCCTGCCACCCACTGAAATTTGGTCACTGTACCAACGACCTCCATAAAAATCTCGCCCAAAAATGAAAAAAAGAAAGGTAGAAGAAAAATCTCGCTTAGAGTGGGAGAAACGAACAACGAGCTCTCGTAGCTATAATTGTGTCCTGCATCCTGTTGTCTGTTGTCTGCTGGCTGTTGTTGGCTGTTGTCCTTGTCATGCGCTTTGCTAGCCGTTGCTGTGCAATTTCCATAATTCATATTCATAGACATAACAAGCGCCCAGACAACAACAAACGAACGAGGCTGCCGCGTCGCTAGCTGCACCTGCAATACGGACAAATGTCCGTCCTAACAGTCGCCAAAAAAAGTATCTGCAAAGTGTAAATGCGGCCAAAGTGCAAAAATTTCACATATGCTTTTGGGGCAAGCTGCAAAAAAAAAAAAAAAAAAAAACAGAAAAGAGCTGGCATGAATGGAGCATAAAACGTTTGAGCAGACAATGAATAGAGGGAGACGGAGAGAGAGAGAGAGAGAGAGGAGATATGAATACTTTATAGAGGAAGAGCAGGCGAAGCGTCAAAGGTTTTTCAATTCATTGGATTACGTTCAATTTATGTCTTGTTATGCAGAGCAAAAGTGGCTCTAGGCAAATGTACAGCAAATCAACAAGCCCATCATTCTGGTCATCAACGTAAACATCAAAGCTGAGCGAAACTCAACCAAAGTATCTCATAGATACGCACGCACACTCAACGTGCAGTTACATTTGATTTCACACCTACACACACACACACACTCACACACAGAGACTTCGAAATTATTAACTGGGGAGCATTTTGTAGTTCGGCAAGCGTAAGTGTTGTCCTGGACCCCGGACAGCAGACACTTCATAAAATGGCACACGGCACTTTCCATTTTACCGTTGGCATCTGCAGCACGTGGATGGACATACTCGAAAACATAGAAACATGAGCAGCAAGTACAGAGGGAATGAGAGAGAGAGAGAGAGAGAGAGAGAGAGAGAGATGGAGAGAGAGTGGGTGGCAGATAAGGCGACAGAGTGGACAACGACAGCTGAAGCTGACCACCGGGTTTCAATTAATGAATTAGTAATTTCGGCTTCATTGCTGTAATGAACACTTGGACCAAAGCCTGGCGGATGAATTGTTATTGTGTTAAACTTCTGTTAATATTGTTATAAAGCAGGTGGATTATGGCCTGTGCGGAGGATCTGTCGTAGCAGAGACTTTAGCTGTGTGGCGGGCTAAAAATAAGTAGGCCACTAAAGTGCTGTCAAGTTGATATTAACTAAGAAATCAAACTTAAGCATATTCTGAGAGGAATAAAACATTTTATTTATTAATTTCCTTTTTTTATAGGACAAATTTTAGTTTGAATAGAATAATATTTCGTATATAGTATTTAGATTGTGACAATCGAAAATGAATATACAGCATTTATATAGCAGAAAATAGAAAGAGTGCAAAGTCAAATTTTAGCTAGATATTAGATGAGCATATATGAACTTAATATGCAGAATATATATAGCAATATACAGCAGTGAATATGAGGAGTGTAATATCTTATATATAAAAAAATCAATAAATAATATACAAATGACATTCACTGATATCTCTCACTCACTCATAGATCCCACTTGCTTTATCTCAACTGCTATACTTGAACTTATGAGAATCGCGGAGGAAGGCAACAAGATAATTTCGTTTCTTTTAGTAAAAGTTGCAATATAAAGTACACTTGATTTAGGAATATATCTATATGAATTTAAAAATTCGTTGTTTAGCTTCAAATATTCTCATATATGAATTCGTTTTCCATTTTGA